TCAATACATATAACAAATTTAAAAAAAATCGGTTTTGTTTGTTTCTTAGAATTAGTGTTGCAAATTTATTCTCTTTTTAAGAAAACGAGTGGAGGTTGATTCAGTAGTAAATAGTTGAATTATAGGTTTTGGTTCATGTTATTTTACATATTAATATTATTTATAATTTTATTTAGAACAATTAGATTTAAATTTAAATTAATTTATCGGTTAATAATATATGTCTCTGTACACGACTCTTTGATAAATGTATAAAAAAAAACAAAAAATTTCAAGTAGTATTTTTAACTACCTAGTATCTACCTACTATCTAATTTTTAAAAATAAAATAAATAAATAATAACAATGGAAAATGGGTACTAAAACTTATTTGTAAAATTTTGTAAACGTTAATAATAATTATAATATCAAAGTTTTAAATATTTTGATGTATTTTGTGCTTTAAACAAAATTTTTAATTGTAATAACATTTATTTATTAAAGATTAATTATTATTATAGCTATTATAATTTACATAAAATATTAAATTATTTGTTATTAATTATTACTGATATTTATATTGAAATTAATCCAATAAATATCATTAAAATTTAATTTATTTTTAAAATAGTTTTTCATTATTTATTATATTTAAAATTAACTCAATTTTATTTGAAAACTGCATTATTGACATAATTTTTGCTCAATGTCAAATGAAATAATAAAAAAAAATGGACATATCTTTAGTATTGTAGGGCATTGTATAATTTTTATGGTATTCAATAATTAGTATGATATAAAACTGCACTCAAGCTAACAAAACCCACACATTTGTTAATGTCAAATAGATAAAGTTTTATCTTGATATAAATCATAATTTCATTATGATTTAACTATAAGTAGGTACACACATTAAAGAACACAAAGCACAGTAAAATAGTAATTGTTAAATAAAATAATAAACATAACAAGAAAGATAGTATTTTTTAAATCACTTAGGGTATATTTTTACAAAGAATAGAATAAAATAAAAATAATAAAATGAATAAATAATTTTTAAATGTACATTTTTTAAAAAATTTAGATTTCGGCGAAAGCGGATTTTCGTACTAGGTTCGTATCTACGGCATCAACATATATTTAATCAACCATTCTGCATATATACTGTTGTATTACGTATTATTTTAAAATATATTAATTTATAACAATTTAACAAATGTTTTATTGAATTTTTCAGATTTTTCAGATTTGTAAGTCGTAATACTATAGTAGTTACACCGTGTAATGGTATTAAATTTTATCATTATCAGATTCGAATGTTGTTAATTTATTTACAATAACGAATCATATTATCAACAATTCTCTTGACTAAACTTCAATTTATTCATGTGGAAATAGAGTATTAGTTTGTATTTATGGATTGGGATCGCATTTTTACAAATAATTCTGTATTACGAGCATAATACTATACAATCTTAAAAAGTCAACTGGTACTGCACGGTGATATATAATGAAGCTAAACTAGCCATTTAATACTCTTAAAATGCTTAATACTCGTATATCATTGCTATTGTCGTTTTTTCGAATAGAATCATGCGTGACTGACGACAGCTTAAAAATGACGATAAACAGCCTGAATAGGATGTTTGAGGAGAATGTATCAGAATGGTTTATGATATATACTATTATCTCAGCAGTATATCAGCAGTGAATCAGAGATTAGAAAAAAAAAATATTACACAACATCATGGACATCATCAATCAATGATGGTCATAATAACCTAATTCCTACTATATTATATTATATTTTTTTAATAAAAATAAGTAATTATGTAAATATTAAATAAAATTTATTTTCATCTAAAAAATGTTGGTTTTAATTAAATCTAAATTAATAGTAAATACCTGTATTACAATGACAGTGATTATAGAAAGGTACCCGACTAGAGAGTATGCTTCGACTAATAGCTGCTTTCCTAACATAATTATGATAATTTAGATAACCTTCTATGTTAATCATTTTTTTAAATTCATTAATTAATCAAATTACAATTTTTTATAAAAATTAAATTATAGCTTGTTATATTAATTAAAAATATATTTCACACCAGCCAGCTTAAATAAAAACTATCTTTTAAGATAATATTAGAAAATAACATTTTGAACTTTAAAAAAAGTAAATAAAATAAATATAGGTAAATCTTTCAGTCATATTTTAATAAATACTTAATTTGACAGTACATAAAAATGTTTTACGTGAATAATTTAAAATTTAATGATGCGTGGTAAAAGGCACCATTATGGTTATTTTTCGATTATTATATTATCAAAATATTCTATGAATACTGTTTTGAATGTATTGATTTTATAATTAATGATTTTTTTGTGTGTTTGTGTTTGTGTTATAACTTTTTTAGCAGTAAAAATACTTTGGTGTAAAAATTTAAGTGTGGTTTTAGTGTAGAAAATTAGATTTATTTGGTACTTTAGTGCGTTAAAAGTAAAATTTTCAATCACTTTTAAAAATATCAGGGAAAATACTGTTTAGAAAAGTTGGAAATTTTTAAACAAAATTATTTTATGATAATATTGATTTGGTTTTTTTTTTTATGAAATGTATTAATGAATGACACTTAAAATGTTTACAAACATTTATATGAGTATATAATACTTTAATACTATAATTATAATTATAATATATAATTTTCAAAAATATAATGGATTTTTTTAGCAAAATTTATAAAGCAAAATTTTAAAGTAAAAAAACTGAAATGTGTAATATAAGATTCCTTTAGGTTTTTGTACCCAAATTAAAAAATATTGAAGATATAAGTCCAAATAGTTTATGAGCGTTTAAAATTTAAATTTTTATATGAAAATAATGAAAATCAAGAAAAATTGTAAGTTATTTGGTAGATATAAATACATAATAATCCTAAATTTGTATTTCTAATAGTAAAATAAATAACTAATATCAATATAATTATATAATAAAATTAGTGCCTTCTACATTTCATTGTTCATACAAAACGCATATGTGTTAAATTTAGCTGTTTGATGCTAAAATTTAGCGTAACGCGAGTAAATACATAATATATTTTTGGTTTATGATTTTAGTGTATAGATGATAAGGTACTAGTTAACTAGTTATCCAACCCGACGTTGTCTGTTTAATATTTTTTTTGATCAATTAAAAGCAACATTTAAAAAAATATATTTTGGGTGGCCGTTGTCAGACTATATACTTTTATAAAAATATTCTACAAAGTTTCTATTGATTATATGATATTTCTTTGTAAACTATATTATTTGTTTTACGATATAAGGTATATATATATAAATTGATTTCTAAGCACACAGTATAGCAGTTATCTTTATTCACTTTGGTTGCTCATTAAAATTACGCCTCTTATGTAATTCAAATTTTAGTTTTTTATAATTCGTTATTTACAGTCATCGTTCAACAAGGCGTTTCTTTTATTCTTTTATGATGTGCGTGTATTTTTGGATTATTTTAAAAATTGATAACTTGATTGTTAATACTTAATTAGTTAATAAAATTGAAAATAACTAACGAACGCATAGTACTATATTATCGTAGTAGGTATATAGGTTTTAGTATTTTAATCAGTTCACTGAAAAATCATTAATATTTTAAATTTTAATACATTTTTAATTATTATTTATGTTAATAAAATATTGGTAATTACCAAAAAGCTGTATTAAGTTAGGCTTCGACAAGGGTTTTTACCATTTTTTGTATTAAATAAAAAAGGTTTTCCTGGATAGATGGCGTTGCTGATATATTATTTTTTAATCGCTTAATATTTCGTTTATGGGAATTGAATCCATTAAACTATAATTAAAAACTACTCCGTAGTGTGCCATTTCATTTAAAAATCATCCGCATGACGATCGGATGAGTGGGTTCTGAGATAATTGGTATCTAAGATTCAGACATATCCATGTCAATATTTCGTAAAATCTGATTGCAGCACCACCTACCGTATCCAATCTTGAATTAAACCATCCAAAGACCCACTTAAACACACATAAAAAATTCATCAAAATCGGTCCAGCTGTTTAAGCTTTAAGAGGAGTTCAGTAGCATAGATACGTACACAATAATTATATATATATACATTTAGTTAGTATTGTAAAGCACTTAAGTAATAGTATTTGAATACTTTTTAAGTATTCAAATATGTATTTTAAATATTTTAAAAAAGTTAGCAGACATATTTTTTTTTAAGTATTTATAAAATGTATCCATTTAAAATTAAATACTTTTTCTTTTATATAAGTATTATTTTCTATTTTAAATTCATTCACGTTAAATAATAATAATAAAAAAAAAAAATTAAGAAATAGATGTGTTCATTTAATTGCTAATCCTAATCTGTAAAATCATATTTTAAATTATGTTTTACAAATAAAAATAAAACTTCTTTTCAAACGTCTAATATTTCATAACTTAAAAAATGTATTAATTGATATGAATTGAAACTTTTCATCTTAACATTATTGTTTCAATTCAATGAAGTTCATAGTGTTTAAACTAATTGTATATTATGGTATTTGTTCTACGAATCTATATATAAGTTAATTATTAACAATAATATATCATATAATTTTATAATTTATGCGATGTTTTGAGCAAAAATAAGTATCTATAATAATTTATCATAGTATAGATTATAATAATACAAATATATATTATAATATACTTTTAGAATCCCACTCTGCTTCTACAAAGAATCATTTTTGGTTCAATAATGATATATTGTTGAATTTAAATCTAACAAATTCATTAGTTATCTATTCAATGATGATATACACTTAAAACCTACTATACAACAGAAAGATTTATAAGGCTTTATTTATTTCCTGGTAATTTTTAAAATACAAGAAATTAAAAAATAAAATACATTAATATTATTTCGAATTGTGTAACGAAAAACTAAATCTTATAGCCAATAAAGTATCTTTTGAAACATATGAAAATAATAAAAATATTTTACCTGACACTGAGTTTCCGGATCTGGATATATTCTCCCAGGTCTACCACATGTAAAACTCATCTTTGGTATGATGTTGTTTTCTCGAAAATCCGTTATTTTATTATCATTATTTAACGATCTGGTAAATGGCCTTTGGACATCATGTGATTTCCAACCCTAGAATAAAATAAAATGAATATATTTGTAAGGGACGTACGTAATTGAAAATATTTTCTATTTTTTTTGGTGAAAATAAATATTTAGTTTTATTTATTAAGTAGGTATCTTAACAGTAATATTATGTATTTTATTATCATTTTAGCAAAATATTTTATTAAAATGGATAATATTAGGATAATTTCAGTTGAGTATTTACATTAAAATTGTGAAATATTAATCAAAGTTGTTACTTGTAAGTATACAATGTCACAGTTTTACTTTAAGAAATGGTCCAGTTTGAGACATAAGATGGATGATTTACACTGGTAAAGTTTTTATTTTAAATTCTGAGTAAAAAAAAAATACTAGAAAAAAATAAGGAAAACGAGAATTTTCTACGGTTTTCAACAAAATTAGTTTTGTTTTTTAATGGAACTCGAAAAACAATAACCATAGATGCTTAAAATTAAAATGTTCACCAAACATTTATATGATCATTTTCTGTATATTTTGATTCTTTTCAAATTATTTATAGACATTTGAAATTCTTAATTTTTAGTTTTATTTCTTTAAATTTTGATGAAAATGTTTTCGATCCAACAAAACGCTTGTAAATTGAACAAAAGATTTCACATAAGTTTTTTTTATAGATATTTTAATAAATTATGATACATAGACACATTTTATTTTTATTAAAATTTGAAATTCAAATTTTTTCAGAACTCGTCAAAATCACGAAAATAAATTGTAAATTGTTGTGTAATTAAAAATGTATAAAATGTTTAATTTTTATAGCTAAGGTTTGTAAATTAAAAACAAAATTTGCCATAAGTAGTCTTCATACTAAAACCAGAATATTTAATTATTATAAAACCTTATTATTATTATTATTTTTTTTTTTTATAAACATTCAAGCTCAAATTTAAATGAAATTATTTAAACTATATTAATAACAATGTTTATCATGGTTCAAAAACATTATTCTTGGAGGAATACAACTCAAATGTATATTATTATATTATGTTATACACAATGATATTTTTAAATGTGATATTTTCAACAAAAAATAATTCAATCCACTGTATTATTAATAGTAAAATAAATTACTTTACCTTACAGCATATCAAACTCTAACATAAAATATACTTAATAATATAAACTGATAGACCGTCTTCCCTTTGAATCATTTTTTATGTACAATGATGTATTATTGGATTCAAATTTAACACATCCATCACAGTAACCACTTAACACCTATCGTATAGGCGTACAGCAGAGCCGTACCCACTTGTCTACCTTATAAAAAAATTATTTTCATTATTTTTTTTCTTGTTGATCCTAGTCTATGTTTTTTGTTGTATAACAAATAAACAAAGAAACAAAAATATTTGTATGATAAACAACACACTACTATGAGAGTTCAGGTTTTTAAAAAAAATATTTTATAATTCTTATATCAATTTTACTATAGGAAATTAAAATAATGTAATAAATAGGTATAATATTATAAAATATAATATTTATGTAGATTTATAATATATTAAGTTTACTTTTGTGCTTAAATATTGTTAGATGAAAATTTTAGTTATGATTTGTGTTAGTTCGATCAGAAATTCGATCTCCAATCAAAATTTCACATCTCTAGAATATATTACACGCCTTTAGCTGTGGGGCGTATCGGATGCTATGTGGTTTATGGATTTTCAACGTTTGTCAAGTTAAAAACTGCGTATCAGCCACTGCTATATAATCCGGCTGTTGGCGTGGGTTCTTTCATTTATATATTGGTCCATATATTATACAAGTCTACTTTGACACTTATCGTTAAAGGTATATCGCTCTGGATCTATTGTCTCTGTCTTACATATAGTACATTTTGTATTTGGTACATTCGATTGCGTGTAATAAGCTAAAATAATAAACTTAATTGACCATATGATTTTTTTTTAAATTTTTAAGCAAGTTTTATTTAAGTTTATATATATTTTATATCAAGAGAGATTTCAGCTAAATATTATTTTTATTTCGACAATTATGGCTAGGTGAGACAAGACGTGAATGTTATGTATATATTATCATGATTTAAAAATTCTCTTTATTCACTTTTAAGTTAAAGTATCAAAATAAAATTCACGAGAAAACATAGAGTATGTTCTTATCTATTTAAATTTGATAATAGGTCAATTAACTTTAATAGAAAGGCTTACTACATAAAATTGTAAGTGTTGAACACAAATTTGCTGTGTGGTGCGTTTAAGTCAGTGATAATACATCTGGTGAGTCATGCTCTTAACCACTAATTACTAAATTACGTTAATGCTCGATTTGTGTATTGTCCACCCTAACATATCTATTTTTTAAATTTATCTATGGGGTTATATAACATGTATCTTTGTATTTTACTTTTGTGTTTTCAACCATTTTTCTTTATTTTTAAAATATATTTTGAATTATTAAAATTTTTTTTGAAATAAATACTGTTGTGATAATAACAATAATGTTATACATTAAAATATGTGTTGTCTATTTTATGAAAACACATGGCATATAATATTTTTCAATTAGGGGATAGATATTTAGTATAAGAATTTAAAATAATAAAATGATACAATTTAATCGGAAAACTCATTTTGCTGTATAGTAGTTATTAATAGTATAAGTTACGTTTGAGTTCAATGATAAATCATTGTATATGATAAAAAATAATTCTGAAAAATTATGAAAATCTGTATTTCTAAGGGTATTTTATTACAGATAATATAATATATAATAACTATAATTTTTTCTTTATTTGTAATACATGATTTAAATACCTATAAGTGCAAAATTAGTATACACTTAAGAAGGAATAAATATACAAAACTGTTATGATTAGATATTTAGAGATGAACTTAAAGATAAGTTGATTAACTTTTATAAGTAATTTATTTTTTTTATAACTGAACTTACTGTTCAACTAATTTTGTAAAAATTTAATTGCATAAAGTATAATTTTAATAACTGTTATTAACTTATAAGTCAATATCAGCATACTAAATTGTGTAAACTAAGTGAATAAGTTGATGGTATGGAATGGCTACAAATCGATATCAATAATTTTATTATTATTTGACATAAGTTATCTATACAAATTAACACAATAAATTTAAATTATAAGAGTAATATATAAAATGAAAGGTTTAATTTAATTAGCAACCAATTACTGAATTTTAGCTAGTGATTAATTTTTAATTATTATTATATATTATTTTTATTTTTATAAATATACTTTTTGAAAAAACCCTAGGTATTTAAGTTTTTAAATAATTTGAAAATTTTAACACGTGGAAAAAAATTTCAAGTCCTTTTAAAAAATATTTTTCAATTAAAATAAAATAATTAAACCTATGTTTTTTGTTAAATGTCTGACTTTATCATCATTTTTTTGAATGTTAACAATATAATAACAAAATTTTTATGAAAATAAATTTTACACATATATTTAAAGTATTTTTAGGTTTTTATACAAGCAACTTACGAGGAATTTTGAAGCAAAGTTAAGCATTTTTAAAATACTATATTTAATGCTATATAAAAATGCTATATTTAATTTTGAAAATTTTTGGCGTAGCATAAATATATTTATCAGCGTTTATTGTAAAAAAAATATAATTAATTCAAAAATTCAAAATGTCTAAATAGTTAAAAATGCACTTAATATTTTTTTTTCATTCTGCACAGAATATAAAATGAATATTACAAAATAATTAATTAAATAAAGAAGTATACTCTCTAATTTATTTTTTTAATAATTTTTTTTTTTTATTTTACGTGTTCTCGAAAAAGACATTTTGTTCTTCAAAAAAATACAATAATTTGATCTACAGTGAAACGTATAATTATCATAAGATATAATATATATTAAAAGGCATTGTATATTTCAAGTATATTATTATGTTTTAAGTGGTATATAATAAAGAACTATGTCAAATTTGATACAGCTGTTCGTAACATCCTGTAATTATGTATAAAAATATGACAAAACGTTTCGTATAGAAACAAGAAATAAATATAGAATATCACAATATTTTGTGATTGCTTATAAAGTGAAGCAATGGAATTCTCATATTATTTTTCTGTTAAATGAGATAAACGGGACACCTGGTGATCTATTAGTTACATAGTTCAGTGTTTAACTGGATATTTTTCTTTTTGTGTATTAATTTGAATGTTTTCATTTTCATTTTCATTTTTTAATTGCACCAATATCTACTTTGTACAATTTTATTTTAACTACGTACAGGTAAAATTAGAGAATATGTTAATATAACTAAATATCTTAGTTAAATTAAAATAAAAAAAATCTGATAACATAACATATTAATTGCATAATCATGAAATCCATGTACAAACAACAAATTAATTTTCACGGTTAACTTAAAATTAATAAGAAATTTATAAAAAACTGTATATTAATATACAGTTATTTATAAATTTAGTAATATAGGTTTATTATAAAATTTTTCAAAATATTATACATATGTTTTTGCTTCCATCTATTAAATCAACGTAACCAGGATTTTGCTTTGAGGGGGATAAGATAGCTGATAATGTATTATATAGGAAGCCCTAACTAGGATGCTTACTAAGTTTGGTATGTTGACGATGTGGTTATTTAATATTTTAGACTTTGGCAAAAGCTTTCATATAAATGTTTGAGTTACAGTTTTTTCGTGTATACCATGGTATTATGTTAAATGCTTATTGTAAATATTATAAATATAGATTAAATAAAAATAAGAAATACAAGGGAAAAAGTAGGTAACCAATTTGCTGTACAGTAGGTGTTGAGTGTATCTTTTCATTGAGTGAGTAATGAATGTTTTGAATTCTAAAAATGATAAATCATTGAACACGAAAAAACGGTTCTAAGCGAAGACGGTTTGTAAGTGTGTTTTATGATATTAACTTATATTGAAATTATAGTAATTTATTTTAATAATAGTATTATAGTGAATTGATCTATTTATTTTTTTTGT